CAGTGAGGATGATTGAATGAGTTTAAATTCTTCACACATTCATCATTCATCATTTATACAGGTGAGAAGCAAATACTTGTTCATTTATTTAATCTGCACACCACTGGATAACTGAAGTGAATATTCACACAATGTATTCAGAGAAGATTGTCAACTCTTTTAGTTCTTCTTTTTTCTTGTTTGCTATGCCAGCAAAGTCAGAATGAGGAATTACTCTCCACAAACTATGCATCGAATATAAATCAGATACTCTCTATGCACTATTACACACTGTCTGTATCTGTACTATAAATGAACCCCGTTCTGTAGAAGGTAGGTGTATGGCTTTATAAGGTTAGACATTTCCTGTTATGCTTGATTGCATTATTTCCCGTTGTCATAAAGGGACTAAAAAACAATAAGGCAATTACTTTTATTACAAGAATTAAAAAAAAAAAAAACGGCAGCATTTGAGACAGGAAAAGCAGCCTTGCAGACTCGTAATGATCACATATCAGTCCCTTCCTTGTCCCTGGTCCTCCCCTGTCTGCACTGTGAAGTCCCCGGGAGGTGCCGAGAGATCCCCATTAGGCTCTGGGACAATGTTAGCAGCTACGTTTGTGTTGGTGGCGCCTCTGCTCAAACACTGTCATTCAGTGGCTTGCCCTGTTATCTAGAGAACAACAATCTGCCACAATCAGTAAACAGGATTTACTTCAAGCTCCCCCACCGATTAACCCTTTACCCTCCCTAGCACCCACCCCCCCCTACACATACAAACACAAACTGCCCGGGGGGTAAATGCTGTAGTAGCAGATTCCAACCCATTACATCGCCACAGAGATGTCCAACTTTCCAAACACAGATTAGACACAACCTGTCAGACTTGGCTTCTACTGCCCAGTCCACAACTGTACAGGATACATTCAATACCGACAGCCTTACATTTTAGAATTAAATGGAAAAGAAAAGAAAAAAAATCAATAAAAAAAGAATAATAACAATAATAATTATAAAACACATTGCCAAACAAAGCAAAAAGAAAATAAATTTCTATTAGCATCTATGGGATCTTTCCTTACATTTAAAAAACCCTAAACTTACAAACCAATCGTCTTGAGTATAACAAGCTCTCAGTAACCAGCTGACAAGTATAAGAGATCACACAATATTGGTGAATAGCCTCCGCCGATCTCTATCGCAATTCCTCTTATTCCGAAAACACGTTGCTTATTCATTAACCTTCATAAGTCTTCATTGAAAGGTTATTTAAACGCTTTACAATTGACTATGATCCCACAGATCAAAACGAATTTTTTGTCGGAGAACAGCGAACTTTCATCAAATACATGGTAAATTCTATCACTCCTGCTCTTTGCTCTAACTGTTAACGATGACGCTAGAATAAATATCTTAAAAACGCCTTTTAGTCTTTCAAAAACAACAAATACTTTAGGTAGCTTTGAAAGGTTAACAGGTCTGAAGAGTTAATTCTCGTTCTAGCGCAGCTAATTCGTATAAATTGGCTATTAATATAGAGCTTTGTATAGAGTTGGTAAGATTGGCAAGCAGGTGTACATAAGAGAAAAACCGATTCACGTCCTGTAATGAAATGTCTAAGTGTAACTGTTTCTGTACAGAAAAATGACATCAATTTTGTACTTCTTAGTTAAGTGAACAGCAGACTCAGCGATTCATTTCATAATACATTTAAATAACGTTCGGGGTCCCTCAGTCACTAACTAATCCATTCACAAAGCTTTCACACAAGGATAAGGATTTTTATTTTTGTCAAGTGACTGGAATTTTTAAATCACATCGGGTTCAGTTTTAAAAAAAACTTCATTTAAAAAAAAAAAAAGGATCCTCATCCTTGTAAGTTAGTTTTTGTGAATTGATCTCAATGCGGTATATATTAATGTCCTGCTACAGCCTACAGCCTACAGCCTAAAAAAAAAATAAAAATAATAAAAGATATCTTGGTAGCCAATAATCCAAAGGGAAAAAAAAGCCTAAAAAAAAAAAGCCTGTATGTTCTCTCTTATCAAAGACGTCACATTAGTTGCTAATAATAGAAGCATATCTGTAATCTTTGTAAGCACAAACTTAACAAGTGAAATGAAACACTAACGGAATCGTTTTACTTATGAGATTCATGGTGTGGTGGCTGAGCAAATCGAGAGGGAAAATTGTCCATTTTAGCTCCAGCCAGTTATATTTCCGACACTACTGCAGAAAGCTACATAAAGTCGGGAACTGTTGACACACTCCTGCGCATGTCAGAACAACCGCTTAGATGACTGTAGTTAAAGGACTGACACTTTGACATTTTTGATACATTGATATCTCTATCTATCTATCTATCTATCTATCTATCTATCTATCTATCTATCTATCTAGCATCTATCTCAACAAGGATTAGGGGACTGTGATGGAAAACAACTACTTAATTGACCAAGCTGGGTAGGGTGTGCTGGAGCTTGTAGTGCCACAGCATCTGCAAATCCACACGACCTAAACCCTTATTCCGAAAACCTGCAGTGACCCAGCCACACATGACCTAGACAACAAACACACAGAGACACATGAAACATAAACAGCGCCAATGTGCATAAATATTTCCTATAACAATCAGTTCAGGGTAAATAATTGTGGATTTGCCAATGACCATGATAACAAGACCTAAAGACAAACACTGACTACAACTGACTTTTGTCAGTAACCACAGAGCTCAGTAGAGATCGCTAAAACAAATATCATTTCAAAAGCCCTTTTCCCTCTTCTTTCTAAAAAAATAAACACAGGTTGTGTGACTCAATGAAGTCTGGAATATTAGGAACTGTGCGGGTATTGTTGTATAGTAAGCAGATACACACGCAACTGCAGGCTGTACACACCAACCTCAGTGTACATAGCTTACCCTGCCCTGCAGAATATCCATCACTGAGCCTGCTTGTCTATCTGTCTATCTATCTATCTATCTATCTATCTATCTATCTATCTATCAACAGGATCTATATATACATTTCTATTATCTTTCGTTATCTGTCTCAATATCTATCTGTCTATACAGGTATCCTTCTTTATTTCTTCTGATCTATCTATCTATCTATCTATCTATCTATCTATCTATCTATCTATCTATCTATCTATCTATCTATCTATCATCTCTGAGGCTGCCTATCAATTGATTTCAACAAGTTACACGTTTATACCATTACAAGCTGCACTAGCAGATAAGGCTTTCACAATGCTACAATATTATTTTCATTGCTATCAAATAACAAATAAGATGGCAGTAAAAATACTAAGACAGTTTGTATAGCTTCAACAATAATGTACAAAGTGGAGCCTTAAATAGGAGGTCTACCCTTAAGAGCTAACAGATGACATAATTAATGTATACTCCACTAGGTGTATTTGAATGAATAAGATATTTTTGAATGACTGAGTGCATTTCTTACTACTAATATGTATAATGTATTCATCCACACTCATACACAAATCTATCTGTGTCTATTGTATATGCTAACTGTCTATGGAGTATAGACTATAATTTATTTATAGTACACACACACACACACACACACACACACACACACTTATCCATACATTTTTACAAAACAGAGGAATCCATAGCAACTAGCATTGCCTATAGGTATCTCTCTCTTCCCCTGGTGCCTACACTTCCCCAGCACTTGGCATTTCCTTAGTAGGCATACATGGGATCTGTTAGTTTGCCCCTCTGATTGTGAGGACTGGGGATATTATGTGCCAGTAACACACCTTCTGATGATCCACAGGGCTAATTTATTTTGGACACGTACATTAAATAAGAGACATCAAACACACTAAGACACGACATAGAATTCAGAGACCACAATACAGACTTCACGTTTTTCTTTTTTTTTATCTTGTTTTTTTTTTATCTTTACTTCAGCAAACAAAAAATAGATTCAAATAACATGAAAAGTGGCAAGTCTTTCGACAATAAATAATAAATTACTTTATAATTTTTGCAATGCAATAGCAAACAAAAAAAATGTTTCCCTTTCTCATGAATTGCAGAGAGAGAGACACCAGTCATTAATACCAATAATAATAATAATAATAATAATAATAACTATACACATCTTTGGGGGGATACAAGTTCTTAATGTCTGTCAAGGATCAACACAATCCAGAGACGCCTATGGCAAAATAGAGGTATACCTTGTTGTTGCAATGCTTCTTAGAGTTGGATATTGTTGGGGTGAAATAAAAACTTAGGCAGGGCAAATAAAATAAAGCAATGTTTCAGGGGCTTTTTGGACTAGATGATTGAAGAAGGGGGAGTCTTGGAAATAGTTACATGCTAGGTGGGAGCCTGGGTTTGCTTTTTTTTTTAACAGTACCCCCCTCCCTTTTTTTTTAGTCAGTTGAAAACATTGCTAACCACATGTAAACCAGCTCCACCTGTAATCCTTCAAGGTTCCCGCAGTCATTGTCCACTTAGCTGGTCTACAGTCTCATACTCTGTGGAGCTCCTGTTTGGCAAGGCAATGATTAAATGTTGTGAAACGGATACAGCACCATTCGGATTAAGATCATCTCACTGCTATCTCTCCATCGTGGTCAAGTGGTGGTAATGTCTTGAAGTGTGCTAAGAGATAGAAAGAACCAAGATCCACAAAATTGAAATCCTCTAAGACCCTTGTCTTGCCCTTGTCCTGGACAGGTAAGGCCCCTACGACCATGGACATTGTTCAATCCTAGTAAGATCCCATGATTGTCTTCACAGTGTTGCTACCATGCCATCTGCTCCAGATGGCCTTCCATGCATCAGATGGACTATCCTGGGTGCTCTGGTGCATCAACTGGGTCGTCAGATAACTTTGTTGAAGTTCAAGCCAATACTTAATCCCACTTTTCCAACAGAAAAAAGGGAAGGGTTTGGGAGACCATAGAGTTCACGCTCCTCATGCTTCAATAGGGCTGGCTACCATGCTGTTTGGAGTATCTGGGAGCTGAGAAGACATGGAGGCCACTTCACTTCCGGTAGAGTTGGAGCCTGGTCCCCCTTCTGAAAAACTAACCTGTGAGAAACAGGCCTTCAATTAGAAGCAGGACAAAAGAAAAAGAGTGTGTAAGGAAATGCTAGACAAGCACAGGCCACATTCATTGAGAAAAAGGTAATTTACGTTACACATAAACTAACTAACAAAATACAATACAAATAAAGGTGGAATGTACACGTATCTAATGAAGGGGTGGGCAAATGTTGTCCCTCCAGCTGTTTTGGAACTACAAATCCCAAGAGTAATTACAAGATTCTCAAAGCCACAGGCATGACTCCCAGAGACAGATGCATAATCGGATTTGTAGTTTCACCACAACTGGAGGACCTGAGTTTGCCCACCTCTATTCTAATCCCTAGATTTAACAGATGTTGTGGCTTTAATTTACCTGTCTACTGATACCCAACACTTCAAGAAAGGCTGTGGTTTAACTGCTAGCTTCCATTTACCTGTCTACTGATACCCAACACTTCAAGAAAGGCTGTACTCTAACAGGGGGCTAGGCATGATTACACTAAGGGCTTGCCAGTCATGAAACAGCTTAGTTTAGCTTTGAATACAAAAAAGATTTAAAAAAATTAGGTCTGCAATGTGCAATGCCACAACACAAAAAAGCACACAAATGCATATAGATATATATATATATAT